ATTGATTCAATGAGTGGTATATGTTTTTTTCCGTTAATAACAAATCCTACTAGAATCACATCCCATAGTGCTACAATAATTGATAATTTCTTTACAAATGTCATATATGGGGATGTGAAAAGTGGTATCTTAATGTCCGATATAAGTGATCATTTACCAATTTTTATAACTTATAACAATGATGATATTTGTGAGAAAACTATTAAAAAAAACAAAAGATCAATAAATACATCCAAAAGAGCTTTAGATAAATTTAAAAATGACCTAAAGCAACAAAATTGGGAAGATGTCTATGTAGACGACGTAAATATATCTTATGAAAAATTCATGAATATACTAGAAGTTCTGTACAAAAAAAATTGTGTGCAAATAAATAATAAACAAATAAAAAATAAGGTCGATCCACCATGGATGACAAACGGACTGAGAAATGCATGTAAAAAAAAGAATAATCTCTATTCATGTTTCCTTAAATCTAGAACGCATGATACAGAAACCAAATATAAAAAGTACAAAAACAAATTAGTAGGGATTATACGAAAACAAAAGAGGGAATATTACAGCAAATTATTAAACAAAAGTAGTGGAAATATGAGGGCAACATGGCAAGTATTAAATTCTGTTCTTAATAAAAATAAGGTTGGAAATGGTATTTCAAAATATTTTGTTGAAAATAACGTGGAAATCCACGATGAAAATGAAATTGTAAATGGATTCAACAATTATTTTGTGAATGTCGGGTCAAACCTCGCTGCAACAATACCAAATGTTGATGCAAATGTGAGTTATTTAATAAATAGTCGTGTAAATAGTATGCTTCTAAAGGGAACTGACAAAGAAGAAATAATGATGGTAGTAAATAAATTTGCTGATAAAAAATCAAGGGATTGTGAAGACATGGATATGACGGTTGTGAAGGAAATAATGAGTTGTGTAATTGAACCATTTACATATATTTGTAACTTGTCATTTTCAACAGGAATATTTCCTAACAGAATGAAAATAGCCAAGGTAGTCCCTCTTTTTAAGAATGGCAGCAAATGTCAATTTAACAACTACAGACCCATTTCTTTGCTGCCTCAATTTTCGAAAATCTTGGAAAAATTATTTGTAATCAGATTTGACCTCTTTTTAGAAAAACATAATATATTGAGTAATAGTCAATATGGGTTCAGATCAAATAACTCAACTTCAATGGCTCTGATGGAGTTGATAGAACACATTACTACAGCTGTGGATCAACAAAAATATTGTGTGAGTGTTTTTGTTGATTTAAAAAAGGCATTTGATACAATTGACCACACCTTACTTCTTGATAAATTGGATAAATATGGTATAAGAGGACCAGCTTTTCATTGGATCTGCAGTTATTTGCAGGACAGAAAACAATTTGTACAGATAGATGATATAAGATCATGCCTCTGTGATGTTTCATGTGGAGTACCTCAAGGCTCTGTACTTGGTCCTAAGCTGTTTATTTTATATATTAATGACTTAATTGATGTATCCAGTATCCTAAAATGTGTTCTTTTCGCAGATGACACCACTTTCTTTTATTCCGGTACTGATTTGGAACAAATGTTAGAGTTAATTAAGAGGGAGTTTGTCAAAATACAAACTTGGTTTAATTTAAACAAGTTATCATTGAATATTAATAAAACAAATTATATGATTTTTGGTAATAGAGTGACAACTACTGATGTTCCTTTCAAAATCGATGATATTGAAATATGTCGAGTGAGTGAAACAAAGTTTTTGGGTGTGGTTATTGATGACAGATTGTCTTGGAAACAGCACATAAATCTTGTAAAAAGTAAATTATCCAAATCCACAGCTGTACTATATAGAGTAAAGGATTTATTGAATGAGAAAGCTTTGTATTTGCTGTACAATACAATTATAATACCACATTTAATATACTGTGTTGATGTTTGGGGCATAGCATGCAAAACGACTACTAGGTCTATTTTAATCTTGCAGAAAAGAGCCTTAAGAATTATAACGAAAACTCATTACTATCATCCTACTAGTGTATTATTTTGTAAAATGAAGTTGCTGGGTTTTTATGATTTGGTGGAATATAATATTCTTTTGTTAATGTATAAAGCACGTCATTATACACTGCCCTCAAATATTCAAGTGCTTTTTGTAAAAAGAAAAAGTTGTTATAATCTAAAGGGCACTGATATTTTTGTTAAACCTAAATATAGAACTAGTTTAAAGGGTCGGTCAACGTTGATACATGGAATAGAACTATGGAATAGTTTGGAAACTGATGTTAAAACAGCTCAGTCAATGTCTGTATTCAAGAAAAAAATTAAGAGTATAATGTTGCAAAGATATATGTAATTTGGTTAATATAAAATGTTTTTAAAATCATTATATTACTATAAGTTGATTATTTGTTTCATGGTTGACTAATGCATGAATTGCATTGATTGTTTAGTTGTTGAAAAATTGTTTTCATGAATGGCTATTGCTTTAATTGATTGTTTGTATTGATTTTTTGTCTAAGAAGGGGCAGTTATTATAAGATTTTTTCTTCTTCTGCTTCCTTTCATTTTAAATTTTCTTTTCTGTCTTTTTTTATCCATATGGATTGTAAATTGTTTTTTCCTGTGTTTTAATTTGAAATGAATAAAATAAATGAAATGAAATGAAATGAAAATGAAAATGTCAGAACATCTGTCCATGAACTGAACCTCAAGAGAAGGTGGGTCATGCAGCAAGACAATGACCCTAAGAACAAAAGTTGTTCTACCAAACAATTCACCAAATTGTAAATCATGGATCTGTTGAGCTGGTTTCTCAGCACAATTGATCAAATTTTCTTGACGAGAAGAGAGGGCAAAGGAGAGCTTTCCTGCTCCAACAGGATACTGGCAACTGGATACACAATGGATTCCTGGGGGCAGTGGAAGATCGTGTGTCTGTCCATATCGCCGGTCGAGGATGCTAAAGATGTGTACATAACTGGATTTATGATCACAGGATTTCTGCTTTTTGGAGTTGGTGGTTACCTGGCATATCGACACATTGTGAAGCTGCCTGGCGAGGGGAAGTGTCGTGCTGTGAACACTCAGACTCGAATGCTGTGTGAGCTGAGCTGTAAGTTGGACGCGATTCTTGAAAATCGCAGGCTACTTGCAGTTCCTGAATCTTGCTAGAAAGGAATAGATCTTGGAGAAGTTTGCAAGCTTGGCTCGGCGGAGTTGATCACAAATTTGGCCATTTGGACTCGCCATTGAGATGTACCGGTAAGACTGTAAGGCAGACGGAAATTAACAGAGCCGGCCTGATCCAAAACAATAGCCGTTATCTGAATCTGTCTCCCCCCTGTGTCGGCCTTGGAAGGCTGACCATCTCAAATTATCCTGGATGTTATGTGAACAAGAGGTTCTGCTCCCCCCTACCCGCTCCCTTCCCCGAGGACATCTGTGGGCCTGTGTCAGAGCTGTACCGAGGCGGTTGATAAATATTGCACCATCACTTATCATGGACTATGACTGAGGAGGCTAACTGAGACAATGTTCATGGACTTACTTCCCTCAAACTCACCGCCGTGCTGGCCTCCCTCCTTTAGTAATGCATTTTGATGTTGATAGCAACAAGACTCAATTTGTAAATTATGTCAGTAATTGGAAATGATTTAATAAGCCTGTAAACAAGAAATTAGTTGTGTAAAACTATATGTTGCATTGAACATAAGATATTTTATTTATTCAAATGTTTTCCATATACTGCTGCTGTTGGTGTTATTAAGCCCTGGTGCTACTACTGTTACATCAGGAAATTCTGCTATCGATGTGAGAACAAGAAAAAGTTAAAAATAACCAACATCAGAGCTCAGCAGAGTTGTCCCCTTACATTCTTCAAGAAAAGAACAAAGCCATTTAGCACATTTAAGCAGAAGCGGATTCTTAAATGTGTAAATAAAGTGACAAAAAGTAAAATCCTTGAACTGACAGCAGGTGTTTCTCCTACGACTGTACGATGCCTTGATAAAATAAATGTTTTTTAAGGGTAGGTCTACCTGCAGGATAGAACAGAGGGGCCACTGTCTCTGAGCTGGAATAACAAAGGAAAAATATGAAATAAATGTTTACCATAAACACAAAGTCAGACCACAGCTATGTGGCTGCCAATTCCAAAAATGCCAAATATGTTTTCTTACTTTCTGCTGTTTTCTAGCAGAGGTAAATGCATCAGGTAGAAATATATAAAGGGCATTCTGCTCCAAGCATCATCATTCAGTCAGAGGGACATTCCTCTAGTTTAGTCATAAAACAGGCATCAGCTGCCCACAAGCAGTACTGACTTCTCATATGACGTTTTTAACATACAAATACATGTTGGACTTTGGGCAGCAAAAGCTTTAAATACTGAGGTGTTCAATACAACGAGTCCGTTGATGCTTATTGTTCAAACCAGAGTCTGTTTATACTGGTCACACATTTACAGCTCGATGGTGGTAATTGTGCAAAAAAATATAAACACAACTCAAAATATGTAATCTTTATATTTTCTCAAGACATAAAATATGTTTGGGCTTTATTTTTTTAGTATAGGCCTACAATAATTGGATCAAATAGAATGGCAACGTCTACTGAAATTAAGTACATACGCTTTGGTCAGAGTGTTTTAAATGAGCTAGAGCTTTTTGCCACTTCCACTTTTTAACTGGGTCATACAAGACAACAATATTTAAAAACTACAGAAACATTTAAATTTTTAATGAATGGACAGTATAAAAGTACATTAGATTTTAAGTGATCATATCTAAACTCTGATGAGTGTTGATAGTCACGAAAAGTCTGCTAACACTTTCTATTAAAGGTCAAACTTTGAATCTGCTACTGCTGGTCACAGCAGTTACTTCTTTATGGTGTTCGTAAAAATATGTTCATGTTTTGTGAAAGCTCAAAATTGAATTCAGCTTAAACATATCTTCTATACGATGATGAATGACGCCTCTGCTGCTGGTAGGTGACAAAGCTCACCCGCTCTGTGCAAGACGCCGTTGTCCTTAGTTTCTCCTCAATCTCCTTCCCAATCCTCTGGACAGTCACTTGTGTCTGTTTGATGGCTCGCTGCGCTGTGTGAAGCCTGCCAGAGGGGAGGAGAGCACAAAATCACAATCGTTATTATTTCACCAACACACGGAACAACAAGAACACTCTCGAGTTCAAACTTCATTTCTAAGACGTCATTTAAATGATTAGTTTTAAAAAATTACACACAGTAAACAAGCAATAAATTCATTTGAGCCTGGATGTTTATTGTGATTGTTTACATGGGATGGGATGAATAATCGCTTCCATGTGCGTTAACAATTACTGTGCAGTGTGTTTGTTATCAGTCTTCATTATTTCCCCTTCTTAAAGAGGTTAATGATGAAAAGTTGACGTTAAATAATAGGGGAAAACAACAATGAGAACATTTTGAACAATAAAAGTATACAGATGGGAAAAGAAAGATTACTCTGTAAAACAAAGTTTAATCACTTCTGCTGTGTAACTGAGCCGACTGCAGTTCGGTACGAGATTAAACATCCAACACACTTGAATCCATCAGTCTCAGGAAGCAAAGATAAACCTTAAAAAGCCCCGCTAATTAGCCACTGCCACAAAAAGGGAGGCCCGTTTCCAAATCCCACATCATGGTGATCGCTAAAATTGAGAACAGCAACGTCAGTACACAATGACAAGCAAACACGTTATTTAAACAATCATTCCCAGCAATCATCAACTTTCCAGAAAGTTTGGGTGATGTCAGATTCTTTCAGGACAAGAAGCAATCAGCATGACCCACGAGACCCCATTTATCTAGAAGCAAACATCCCATCTGGTGGGTTGACATGGTAAGACACAGTTAGATAATCCAGTTCATCCGTAATGTCTCGGTGTCATCATGGTGAGTTGCATTTCTTTCTTGAAAACACATACTGTACGTCCCATTACTTTAAACACAGCATTCTTTATGTCTGCATTTACAATCCTTGGTCAAAAGCAGCCACCGCTTTGTGCGAGGACCATTAAAGATTCAACCGTCTCCTCCAGGACTGACACAGGACTCCAGGGGAGCTTCCTCAGAGTCAGAGGCAAATACTTTTTACTAGACAGTATCAGAAAAGGGTTCAGACAAGCCTGAATCTGAAGGAAGCCAGTGCCAAGATTAACTACATAGATAGTTAAGTCTCTGTTTCTTCCATTATTCTAACAGTTTCAAAACTTTAAGCTTCGGAAACAGTGTTAAGAGTTGACATTTTTCTGCGCATAGTACTGGAAATAAAAAAAGTTAGGCACTGAAAAGGACTTTGGTGGATTTGGATGCAATTTTGTTCATATGTAGACCAACGACAGGTGCATAAAAGACGAGAACAGAAACCAGAGGGTATTAGCGGTGGCATCATGAGTACAGTGATGCAGATGTCAGACGGATGGGTCAGTCCAAATGGTAAGTGGTCAACAGACAGAGGATGACTCAGACATGTTAGACAACAATAGCAGCGCTCAGTGTTCTTTGGTTTGGGTTACATCGTGGGTTTGCATGAGACAAAGTGGTCCTACTGTGCAATTGCTCAGCATGAGGAGCATCCAGATGTTACGGTGATCTGAATGGACTCTTCATCTTCTTCTTTTGGCTTTTCTCTCGCCATGGGTTGCCACAGCACATCATCCTCCTCCATCTCATTCTGTCCTCACTCCAACTACATCCATGTCCTCTCTAACTGCATCCATATATCTCCTCTTTGGCCTTCATCCTTGTCTTTTTTTACTGCCAGCTGCATTTCTAACATCCTTCTACCAATATACCTACCGTCTTTCCTCTGGACATGTCCAAACCACTGTCCCTCCTCTGGACATGTCCAAACCACTGTCCCTCCTCTGGACATGTCCAAACCATCTCAGTGTGTCCTCCCTAACTTTATCTCCCAGTTGTTCAACCTGTGCTGTACCTCTGATGATCTCGTTCCTAATCTGATCCATCCTTGTCACTCCTAAGGAGAACCTCAGCATATTCATTTCTGCCACTTCCAGTTCTGTCTCCTGTCTTTTTGTCAATACCACTGTCTCCAGACCATACAACATAGCTGCACACTGTCTTGTAAACTTTTCCTTGAGTGATCTGAATGGACTAAGATTTAATATACTAATCTAGTCAAAAGCTTGGCCTAAAAAAAGACTTCTGCTTTTTCTTCGATACTTTGAGCTCTGTGACTGACTTGCATAACTCTTGATAGCCATTTGACAGAACATTACTTTAAAAAAAGACCAGACTACACCTTTAACTTTTGTCCATGACTGTATTAAAATACGTGTGAAGATCAGTTGCTCCTCTGCATGATAATGGTTGTTCTTATTTCTAAAGGAAGCCAATCATTAGCTTGAGATTTATACATTTTATTCATTATTTTATTTCTGTTAGACCCCAGCACAAAGAAATATTCAGAACACATGACTAGTATTGCAGAAAATACCCCGCTGTTTATTATTTATGAGTGATGATTTCGACATTTGGTAAAGGAATTAGCTAAAACTGGACACTTAATATTGCAAACAGGAAGAGGGGATTGTGGATTGGGTCATAAAGGGGATGTGAAAAGAGCTTTTTTTATTAGGCAAGCGCTTGCTTTTCGTCTTCAAGACATTGTCTCTTGAGTGAGTTTATTTCAAGAGGCTCTTTTTAACAGTCCTGCACTTTAGTTGGGTCGTTTTACAAATCTCAAGGGCCCTTTTCTGTTATGAAACTCTCAGTCACCTCCGGATTTTATTGCCTTGTTCTGGCGACCGACCAATAAATCCAAAGCCGATTCAGACTACTTACTGAATCAGCTTTGGATTTATTGGTCGGTCATTTCATGTTTTCGACCCCCTGTTTTTTCCTGCCTGAAGTGACAGAGATAGCCGCTGAGGACATCAGGGTGAATCCGTTTCGACAGCTTCATCTGATCGGTGAGTGCAATGGAAAAATCTGATATGACATTTTCCCCCCAGGTTAAAGCGGTTATCTCTTGACTCCTTTTCACGCATGTCTGCACTCTTATCATCCTTTAAGTCTTGGCCTCGTGCCTGCTCATCACCTGCAGACTAGTAAAAAAAGGGCGAATCCGCCCACACCTGGACACAACTGTAACTGCCAGGCGACTGTCCAGAAACACCAACTCCTGACCTTTGGCAGCTTTCTCTTCCTGAGACTCAACAGACATACTGCAGCTTGGCCACAGATTCTTCTAGATTCAAGTGTGTGCCCTCAACCCTTCATCCTGATAAATATCATACAAATATTACTGTCTGCTGCTTTTACAACGTAACTAGTATCTTCAAAGGTGTCGCTCTGCTTAAGAAATTTGAATAAAAATGACTTTGTAAAAGTTTTCCACAGTCCCTTTGAGATGTGCTTAAATTCTCTCCCTGTCTTTTATACAGAGCATACTCAAATGGGAAAACAGAAAGAGAACTTTAAACCCCCAGAAATATGGCAAGCTCGTCAACCTGAATTATTGGTTTTCTATTCGTTTATCTTTGCTGATGACCTCTCTCTAAATATTTGCAACGGTCTCGAAGCTTGGCTGTGGTCCTGCATCTCTAATTTTGGAATCAAGGATGGGAAGTAATCAGTAAATACAGATGTGTCATGTGGCCTAGAGATATGCCAAAAACTGGTCTAACGAATATGTAAAAGAAGAAAGTGTCTGAAAGAACATGGAGTGCCCCATCTGAAAGTGTTATGCTGCTATTTTTTTAATAAGACAAACAATAAGTTGTCAGTTTGCATAACTATACAGCAGATAGTTTGTCAAATACTTTGTATTTTCTATTGGCGCACAATTCTTCAAATCCGTGACTATGCTACAGCAAAAAATGCTTGTTCTAAAAATAAAAAAACAAAAATGAATTTCTGTGAAGTGTCTTATGTATAATCCTTTAGAATACAATTAAAAAACACAGTCTCGTAGTAATTTTAAATTGATCAAAAGAGGAATGTGTGTACCTTTACTCAACAACTGATCTGAAGGGGAATGCAAAAGTAAAATGTTTTATTTCAGTAAAGTTTGATTCCTCATTATCAGGTTTCTAGGAAAAATGGTAAACATTCTTTCACTATTAGTTACGTTTCTAATAAAAATGCATTAAGTGTTTAGAAAATATAGTGTGCTCTGTTGGATGTGAAATATGCATAAAAAGCTGAAATACTTCCAACTAAATACAGAATTAGTTAATACTTCTTTAAATTCTTCACCGGACATTTCTTTTTAAATAACACAATATTTTTTACCCTTTTGATATAAAATGGTTGCATTATCATTTATTAATTTTATTCTATTTAAAATTTAAATTAATGTGATGTTGACAACTTAAGATCCTAAACCATTTCTTAATTTTATGACATTTTTTAACAAATGCAAATGCGAGGCAACCTTGCATAGAAAATGTGATCAACCTTTATCTTATGATAATAAAATACATATAATTTCATTTGAATTAGTAAAGACTACAAATCCTTACATACAAATTAATGATGTGAATTAATTTCTCTACAAGCACTTTTTGTACCTTAATCCAAATTTCGAAATACAACCCATAACGTAGCTTTATATACAGTAACTCAAGAAACAGATACATTATGTCTACAGTCTGCGATGAGCTGCACCTGTCTTTAGACTGTGGTAAGTGAATTTGTTTTTTATTCTGTTAGAGCTCAGGGAAGCTTTAGAAACAGCTGGTTACGTTTGTTATTTGCCTCAGAGATGACGTTGGGATTCAGGCTTCGTGTCTTACTTATCAGACATATCATTCTCTGTTAGTTTAAGAAATTTATCTTCCTCTGCATCGCCTGTCAGTTGTGGAGCTCTTCACGGCTCCATCTTGGGGTTAATTTTATACACTTGGTACTTAGTGTCAGATTTTTTGCAAACAATATTTCATTCTATTGTTATGCAGATATATGCTCTCGAATCCAAATGACGAACATCCTTTTCATCAGTTCTAAATTGTATTACAAAGAAAAATGCTGGATGGCTTCCAACGGTCTGCAGTCAAATGATAGCAAATCCGGGTTGATACTTTTGGGCCCTCCAAACATTTTTGTAGTAAGAGTGTCCT